AAAAAAAAAAAAAAACGCGAATCTTCGATCGCATAGCTATTTCTACTCACTGAGCAACGGTCTTTGAATTTTTGCAAAACAAACAAATCTACAAATGTAGCGAGAGGGATGTTTGCGATGATGGCGCGAATGTTGAAACGTGCAAATATGTTTTCTCTGCAGATGATTGTTTGGTTCGAGCGCGATCGAAAACACACATTTCGCATGTGCGATACACATGCGAAACACATTGTGTCGTTATAGGTAGCCAATAAACAACTTTAAACGGGAAGCGGAGTGATCGAGCGACGTGTTTCTTGTCTTTTTCATCAATTCAGTTGCAGTGATGCTGATTCAACGTTCCAGCTGTTTCACTTTGCACGATCTTTAGCTAGTAAATAAATATTAGGCCGCTTTGTAAATTGTAACACACAAACACACACACTCACACGATAATCATTACGCGAAGTAATTCGCGTTTGACGAAAGATTGACACAGAAAAAAATCACAGATACGTGAATAGATCACGCAGGTAATAAGTGTCTAATAACTAAATGTAAAATATTAACTATATTTTATGCGTGGAAGAAATTTCAATTATTACTCGTCAACGTCTTCTTACCTCACCCTATCACCACACAGCAGAGAGTCAGCAGCAGTGGGAATGCAACTTGATTTCCGAAAAAGCCAAGAAAATCGCGTCGCGATTTCGAAAACTGGACGCCGGGCTGCGTCGCGAATTTCGACGGGCGCGCTTCGGATTTTTTCACTTTACGGCCTAATATTTCGTCTCGAAGTGTCGGGATGCAGCCCGTGGGAGGGAGGAGCGACGGAGGCTCGCATGCGATCGATGATTTCGACGCCGCGAACGATGATAGGAAAAAAAAAAAAACGAATTTATGAAAGAAACGGAACATCGGATCGGCAGATTCGCGAGAAACGAATGTGTAAACTGACGTGTGTGTAGCTCGGTAAGATCATCGGTGAATCCGAAGCGGAGCTTGCCGACACAGAACCGCGTAATTATTTTTGTATAAGCGCATTATTTATATCTAAGCTAATTTGCTATTAGTTTAACGAGAAGAAAAAAGAGCGTAACTTCGTTCGTATTATACTTAAGCCTCTCTTAATATATGACGTATCACGTACCTATTTATATGTATCTATTGTATCTCTCCCCCCACCCCGCCCCTCTCTCAGTAATTGCATTGCATCTTCCACTGCCAGTATTTATATTGTATTTATTCCGTATGTTTTTTTTTTTATTTTATGTTCACGTAACGTTTATATTATTAAAACGTTTCTTTGATATACACTTACTTAGGGGAAACGAACAAATATAATCTCTCGACCGTGCTTCGCTATCATCCTTCACGATTTCGATACACACGATCTTGTCATCTAGCGTGCTCCTCGCGAGAAAGTACCAATCCACGTAGGACTTTTACGTAGACATAGGCTTCTGGACGCGTGCGCGCGCGCTAAACGTGCGTTCATACAATTTGTAGCGTATCTCTCTTACAAGTTTTCTTCTCCAAAAAAAAAAAAAAAACTTCACTGCCACCACATGACTGCCATGTTTGACGACTGACGTACTCTTTCTGTTCGTACAGTGAAAAAGGAATATCTATGGACACTCGAAGACAGGAATCTCTCTTTGTGTGACATGTATTTTTTCTTTTTACTTGTTTCCATTGCAAAAAAAATAATAGCTAAACCAGAAATGTAAGAGAAAAAAAGATGTTAAAAATCTTTACATAAGTCGTATAAATGTGCACATACAATATTTATTACCGAAGGGAAACAGTCGAAAGCATTATTTATATCTTTATATTTTTTCCTCGTTATATGTAAAACCGTAAACACGAAGCGATAGGTATATATCACGACCTTACAAGTGCGACGTAATATAAAGTATGATTCAATAGTATCGGTAATTGCATAAGTTTTCTCCCTATATGCCTGTGTATTTATCGACAATCTCGGTCGTTATTCTCGCCAATCATTTCAGTCAGGTCTCAACTGAATTTTCCGAACAAAAAAAACACACACTCCATGCTTTAGCGCATGTCGGAGAAGAAGACAGATTTTTGTAATACGATTCTGTACATGTTTGGTCCAACAAAATATACAAATAAATATGCAAGCCAGTTCAAACACTCGTCGTATCAATGATTTATCGCAACGATCCATCGAGTCTCAATTCAGTTCTCACTTTACGCGCGACATTGAAACAAGTGTTGAATTGCAGACATCGCGACATAATCAATGTTATCGCTCGAACGTTTATATTTTGTTCTAAACGTGAAGTGTAAGTACGTGTTGTTTTTTTTTGTTTACTTACTAAAGAGCAGCGTTATCTATCAGCTAGCAATGATTATTAATGATTTATTTATTCGTAGTGCAAAAATCTTATTGCGAATCTGCATCACGTGAAGCGAAGTTGTCACGTAGCGATGTTCGTTACAAACTTTATTATATAACACGAAGATGTAGCATTTGGCACGACATTGTAGACAATAATAAAGAGAGAAGTATTCGTAATACGTAGTAATATAGTTTTGCGCTACGCGCCTGAGACTTCTTGTATATTTATTTGACAAAAATACTTCGCAAATGTGCAAATCGATGAACTGGCGCGCGAGCGACTAACGTCGTAACCATTTGGCTTTTATTCTCGTGAAGCGAAACACTTTTACCTTGCGTTATCGAATCACACGCTTCGAGGGACACACATGCCTCAACTTTGCTAGACATTAGCTACGGGAGCGAAATCTTTTTCGCGTGATTTTACGGAGAGGGAAATCTTTTCGAAATACGCTTTTTTCGCCTCTTCCTCAAAGATCAAACTGTTCACTTCCTCAATTTTGCGCTTTTTTATTTGCGCGCGACATTTGCATCAAATATCAAAAGTAAAAGCATTTTTACAAGATACAAACATTTCAGCTTCGCGTTGTACTGTGTGCGTTAAAATATGTGTTTCAGAGATTTTGTAAACACATACGATTTATAAAATCTTCTTGTCTCATACAAAAACGTACTTGCTTAAGGGACCTGTGTGAACAAAAGATTGGCTTAACATTCCATATGTGAACAATATAAAGCACATATTTAAATAAACAAAAAACATTTTATCATGAACTTTAGTAATATAATTTTTTATTATACACACGTGCGAATACCAATGTGATCGGAAAGAATATAAATTTGATTTCGAGAAAAACATCTACAGCACACATACTTAACTTATAATTTATTTTATGTATTTTATGTCAATTTTTTCAGATCACGTTATAACGCAAGAACAGAGCTACAACAATAATTTAACATATGTTGTTTTTAACGTTTTAATGAGATGCATATTGAGTATATTCAATAATAAATGTGGAGGCATATAAATTGATAAAAATAAATAAATTACGTGCGCGAGAGATAATGAGAAAATGTATATGCGTCGGTGAATACGCAAATATGTGTGAAAGAAAATGTTTCGAAGCGTGAATATGCCGATATATGTACAAGAGAGCGCGCAAGGCATTGAGTATAAATGGGTTTATTGTGCAAGCACGTTTTACCAAATAACAATGGAATACTGCATGCCTAGAAATACTCTAGCTCTATGCCGTAGGTATATCAAATTAGATAATTAGCATAAAAGCAAAATGTCTATGTTTATATAATGTAACAAATTCTCAAAATATGAACGCTATTAAATAAACGTATGTATAAAGTTTAATACCTTTGTCTCACTTACTATAAACACACATTTTACTGTAAACAAGTTTGATGTATTAGTTACTTCTTCATATTCTATATATGAAAAAATTAAGAAAAGATGAGATACACATGTAATAAAATAATTAAAACAAATTATAAAGCTCGTGAAATGTTCAACTAAGTATTAACAAATTTTCGAACTGAATTTAATTTAAAAATTTGACCTCATATTGACCGTAATTTGATTGAAAATAATTAAAAGTCTTTTTATCTTTATAAAAACAAATGTTTGCTTTTTAAATATTTTTTTATAAGCAGAATATAACTTGAATTTGTGACAAAGATTTTTTATTCTAAACACTAAATTTCTTTGTACGTAGAATTTTTACACGTTGATATTTATATTTATTGATTATTGTATAAAAGCTTTTTTGTTATCATTTGTTGTGCATTACGAATAAGTTATCTCGGTACGATATGGGAGCTTGCGACTATATTAACCGTAAGATATAAAATCTCTTGTAGCGAAGATTTAAACCTTATTTTGATCAAAATCTCAACAAGAGAAAATTTTCGTAGCAAGGATTCGAACCCACATTAAAATCTATGTAACGATTCGCACCATGTGTTATTAAAGAATATTTACCCGCTATCTTTTTCTTGACCTATAATGATCTTATTATCATTATACGTTTATTTGATTATATTATTGTATGATAAAAAACGGAATTATGATAAGAGTGTACTGAGAAAATCAGTATGTTAAATACTATGTAATCTGTACGATTTTATATATTTTTATAAGTTTAACTCATATCTTTGGCCTGAGCATTTTATATTTCCATTAAGTATATAAATACAGACAGTAGACGATAAAGATTCTGTATACACAGCAGCGTAAAACGTGAAACAAGAATAATTATTTCTCAAGATGAAAATTTATGTATTCTACTGTGTCTTTGTCTGCGCGTTAGCGTGTGTTGTGAGTATTCTAAGCCACTATTGCACTGATTGCGTCAAATAAAAGTTAATAAAGTCTAATTAAACGTCAATCAAAACATACATATTTATTTATTCTAAAAATGTTTTAGACCTTTATCTCAGCAGACACTGTAGTTAAAACACTGAAAGATCAAAAGAAAAGAAGAGATTTCATAGATGTTTGTCTTAGTGAAAGTAATATGACCGAAGGTAAAGCATATACAAACACATGAAACATAAACAAAAAATATATGTCGAATTTATGCGCACATAATATAAAGATAAGAAATACACACAGAATTTTATTTTAAATTATATTTAATAATTAAACGCGTACGAAAAACAAAACTTTACATTTAAAACTTTGCACTTAAAAAAATTTTTCTAAACCATTGCTCTCTTAGTAACATCCTTTTATTTCATTAGAGGAAGGTTTTGAAAAAGAAGATATTATTAACAATGTACACAACCAACCTGAGAACAGAGAAAAGTGGAAGAAGCATGGCTGTTTCGTAGAATGTTTTCTGAAGAAGTTAGACTGGGTAAGAAAATTTTTACACGTATTACTTGATCATATTTTATACCTAGGCATATTCTTTGCACTGAAATTATATATAAAAAACTAAAAACAAAAAAAAACTAAATTAAACTTGATCTAAAAATATACAAGATGGAGGGATCAGAACTTATGGAAGAGCATATTCATGGAAATATAACTAAAGTGATGAAAACTCACTCCTTGCTACCCAAAGCACAAAAGCTCATACGAGATTGTTCTACTAAAGGTAATCTACTATCATATTTTTAAATATGAAAAAATACGGTTCAGTATTATTAAATTCAAAAGCAGTATTCGTTCAATTGTACTCAAGAAATCTTACAACTGTAATCACTTTTTAATTCTATACGATATAATTTTAGTGAGAGAAGCTTCTGCAGATAATTGCCAGAGAGGTGGTACAGCATTGGCGTGTGTCATACAGACTATAAATGACTGGGATAAAGATATCACTTTCTTCGAATGAAGAACAAGAAAAATTATCTGAAGAAATAATAATAAATAATGTAACTGAAAAAATCGGAGAATAATTCAATTGAACATTTTTATATATATATGATTATACTACTATAATTATATATTACACTACTATAATTAATATTGTTAACAACACAAAACTCTGTAACTACTATGTGTTATAATAACAAAATAAACTTTTGGTTTTATTACTGTTTACATTTTATTCTCTTCTATGCCAACTCGGGGCATCTGATAGTAACAGACTTGTCAGAATTGAAACATTATCGAGAATGATGTTATTATCTGTGTTTGTGTATGTTGCGTAATTATTGTTTATATAGTCTATGATCTTTAATTTTTTAATAATCTTTAATATTTTATAGTAGAACGAAGTATAAATACAGTGTATCTTAGTACATTCGATTTTATTCTGTGGAAAACAGTGTTTGAGTGAAAACAGAAGAATCTTAGCTAGTAAGATGAGATTTCTTGTTGTTTTTGCTTGCGTGATAATACTTGTTGTGAGTATCTTTTTCTGTTGTAATATAAATTACAATTATATATTACTAAGATAAAATATTATCCTGCAATTAATATTTCTATTAATATATACAGATATATACATATATTAATATATACAGATATATTATATATACAGATAGAAAAGAGATCGTTTGTTTTAAAATATGTATATTCTAAAACAAACAATCAACACGTTATAACTTGTATTTTTAATCAGGATAGAAGAACTAAATTAATATTTAATATTTAAACGTTGCAGTCTTCAGGTGAGATAAAGGAACAAGTAAAAAATGTAATATCACAAACTAAGGCTGAACAATCATTTGAAACGTGTATGAACGAGAAAAATATGACTAGGAGTAAGTAATGCTGCAGATTTTTTTATATTACTTTTATTTAAAGTTGTTTAGATATTTATTTGCATAATATTTATATATTTGCTTGAGAAAGAAAAAGATCTTTTGCACTGTTACGACTTACGATGTAGGTGACTGGTTCTCAGAGGACGAAATAATGACTGACGCTCATACAAAACCTGAAAATGCGGAGAAGAAAAATACCAACGGCTGCGCTATTACTTGTATTTTAAAGAAGCTTGATCTTGTAAGTTTTTAAACAGATCACGACTTATTTCATGTTAAGATGTAAACATCTTTTGTGCAATCAATTGAGATCAATTGACTAATATAAATTTAATACATTATCACGTAGTAAATTACTGTAAAAGTAATAGTTAGTCTTAAAAGGAACATTAAAAACTAACTTGAGCAATACCTACAATGTTAATATTCAAATTTTTACGTTTTCTTTTTTCTGATAATTTCAGATGGATGAATCGAACAACATTATGGAAGCAAAAGTGCATTCGGAAATAAATAATGAGTTTAGTTACAGTCCTTTAATCGCAGGAAAAATACACAAAATTGCACGTAACTGTATGAAAGAAGGTAAATTTTTGTTAGATTTGAAACAATAAATTTGCTAACACTAGAACTAAGGTGTATTTCGCTGTATTGAAATATTACATACTGTATGCAAGAACCGTAAAAGATTTTCTACTTTTCACATTTTCTAATTAGCCTTCTTTACATTTTTTAGCAAGACCTATTACAGAAGAATGTGACAAGGGTTTTACTCTATACGCTTGTATCTGTCGTGCTGTGCATAAATTAGAGAGACACGGAGACCATGAAATAGAAACTGAAGAAAATGAAAACAATGAACATGAAGAAAACGGCGAAACCAACAATCCACAGGAATAAATATAGTCCTTTTCACATTAAATAAATATTGTCATTATCACTGTAAATCAGCTTATAATTTACTCTAAATAAAAAGTATATACATATATATGCACTTTCTTATATTTTATTTTGAAGTCTACAATTTAATAATAAAAACACCACAGAGATAGTGTTTTTTTCTATAAAAACTTACTATTTTATAAATAAATTATATACACAATAATTAGATTCAATATAATATAAAACAGAGTTTATACAACGTTATATTAATTAAATAGGTCGTAAAATTAACATGTAACAACTAATAGAGAAATATACAACAAGTTTTTACCTTATACCTACTTTATATAGTTAAAGCATGAAAATATTAATTTTATTTTGTATACATAATATCGTATTTTTAATATTTATAACTTACATGCGCGCTATGTTGCTTGATCTATAAAAACAATATTTTAATAACAATAAAACTAAAAATCTAAAATTAAAAAAAAAAGATATAATAATACATATTAAGTGAAATATTAATCAAAAATAATAAATTTATATATATATATATATATATATGTACAGTTTATATCACATTTATAATAATATAAGTAATTATTAATATTGTTGCACCTACTATATATGTGTACGGTTTCTATTTGAACAAATAACAACGCACCACACTCGTTTGCTGTTGATTTTAGCTCGTATTACTTGCTCACACATTTATATTTCCGATGATTAGTACATATTGACTAGAAGAAGTATATAGAGCAGGGCAATATAATATAGAAGAAAACTCAGACGCTTGTAAATAAGAAAATATTTCATAAAAAACACATTAGGAAGTCTTAAAGTGACATATTAATAAAAAGAAGAATAAAAAGAAAGTATCATCAAAAACCTATTTTCTAGAGCAAAGTCTTTTTCATAGAATCTATACAGTCTTTAACGCACACGATTGATATATTTCAATAATGTATGAAAGTTCTTATTGTGCAATGTATTCACTATTTTAAATAACTAATATCTATTTATTATAATAGTTTTTCTCTATTCGCAATTTTATATACATCAGATTGTAACTTATAATTTTACATTAGATAATTTATTTCTCTCTCTCATTGTCGATTTTTTCTACATATACAATTTATAATTTAATATACCTTCTAATGATATATGTATATATATATATATATATATATATTTATTTATTATATATATATATATTATATATGCAATTTAATTTTATAACTTTTTACACACATTCTATATGTTTACATTTACAAATGTGTTTTTTGCTTCATTAACATATCTTACTGTTATTTTCTATGCATTTCATAATAAATAAATGATAGCAAATTAGCGAGAGTGTAATATTGTGACGAAAAAACATAATATCGTGCACGATATTATGCAAAAAATATCGGTGAAAAGTGTTCGCTGCATGTAGCAAATTTTTTTCAAAAAGCGGTAAAATATACGCGGTAAAAATCTGATACACTGACTTATGGAATAACACGAAGATTAATAAAAAAAAAATATTTTAATCTTCTAGTTTTTGTATGCGAATATCATATGCCTCACAATGCGAAATCGACAATCGATCACAGTTTAAATATCGGTCACTCATACGTAGGTGGTTTCATATACTATATCTATATATAATTTTCTTTCATAAAAGACATTCAAAATTACATATCGTTTTATTTTACAATATTTTTATTTTCTTTTCTTTTCTTTTATTTATTTTTATCTTTGTTTCAAGATCTGTTTTCGTATATCAAAGAATCTGCTACATACTTCGAGTAGATTTTCACACAGAATTTCCTTCAACTATAAATTAATGTCAGTAACTTTTCTATCAGATTTTATAGAAGACAAAAACATTTACATATTTATATATAAAAGTACATATTTATATATAAAACACTTGAAAGATTCGGTCGAGTCTGTTGTATTGCGACTTGTACGTGAGGAAAATAACTATGCGAATTCTCTAGTACAGCTACACGTATTCCAATGTATTGTGCGTAGTGAAACTTTTGAGTAAAAAGTCTCTTTCCACCTTTGGAAAATTCGAAACTTTTATATCTTATAAAACTGCGTAAGAACTACATCGAGTGGTTAGCAAGACTTCAATATGCGCGCGCGTGCATTCTCTCGTTCACCCGTCGCTTTCCTCATCGTTAACAGACCGTGAGTTTACGAGTAAAGTATAATTCAACCACAGTCATTCTCGAATTGTGTGTGGTTACCACATAATTGGACAAGTTCGAAACTCATGCAGACGAGGTCTTTCACGTCCTCGAAGTATCTTTCTTCCAGTTAACCGGGGCAGGTAATTTCCGATTCGTGCCATCCAAGTTCAGTCTACTCTTGGAACATTTTCGACATGTTAGTCGCCAGAAAGCGAGTCTGAAGTCTGCCGAATAGAAGGCGTAGATGAACGGGTTGATGGCCGAATTGATCCATCCTGAACACAACACACAATCACTTCTGGTTATTTCGTTCCGCTTAAGTAAAAAAAACAAAACAAAAAACAGCAAGAAATTCGCGAACAAATCTTTCCGTAAATAAAAACTTGTCGCCGCGCAATTACACAACTCTGAAGAAACTGCAAACAAAGTGTGAGCATCGAGGTCTAAGAGAGATTGCACAAATAATTTCCAAAGTTTAAATCAACTTTGAACTTGTATAGAAAATACCTAGCCACGTTAAAGCTGGCATGAGAATGTCCGGCGGCTCCATGGGCACAAAGGGTGTCGCCAGGTACAGAGTGAAAAATGGTAGCCAGCACGCGACAAAACCACCGACAACCACTGCCAAGGTGCCCGCAGTTTTTGTTTCCCTCGCGACCCTGTTGATACAGCTCTGCTGATTACCCCGAATTGTGCTCAACTTTTTGCACATGTTCGTCGGTTCGGCTTCCTCGGTTGGTTTGTCACACGTCTCGCCGCTTTCCGCGCAATTCGAACGCTGCGCTTTAATGCTCCTCCCGCGATCAATCTGCAACAATTTCGCTCTCTGCATGTGTGTCAAAACTCGGCAAGATTTTCGAAGTCTTTTGTCTCTTTTTTTTTGTGAAATTTTGTTTTTTTTCTGATTTTCAAATATAAAGTTTTTTCTTCGCAAGTTAAATACGAGCAAAAAACAAGCTCGATAACGTTCGAGAGAATTTACATCAAATCTCAGACTGTTCTTTCGCGATCTTGTCAAGTATCGTCAAACGATAAGAGAATTATCATTGCACGTGATGTGTCACATATTTTATGTTTGTCTGCTTTTGATCTTGTAACTTTAACCTTTACATATATTCTCGCTAACGAATACAAACTTGAAAGATTAGACATCAAACATGTGACGTAATCGAACATTTCTTACTAGAAAGTAAAAAACGGCATGCGACGAAGCCTCTTTATCGCTCATTGAGATGATTATTCTCTTACACTTTTCTTTTTTTCGTTATTTAATAGTTTCCTACTGTGAAAAAAGATTATCGAGAAAAGGTTTGCTTTTATCGATGGGAGTATTCCCTTTAAATCTTCAGAAAACCTTTTCGCAACCGGTAATAAATCGTTCACTGTCTATACTGTTGTTCTTCTCACGTTCGTTTGTACCTTAAAGAATTATTTTCTAAACACCACTTGTTTTACTTTTCCAACATAAATCGGAGTCGCAGTGTTGCGGATCCGTTCGATACAGCGCACACGTGTGTGCGCGCAAATCGCGTTTTGCATCGCTTAAAGTTGTGTTCTCACCGATGCTGCTGTTGTAATTGAAAATTCTTCAAATATGACAAATTGAAATTAAACATCGTATAAATTGGGAGGCAATCAAGAACTTTCACAAAATTCATGATGAATTGTTTAAATGTAATTACAAATGGAGAAGTAAAAAATTTTAGTGCAAAATCCGACAAAAAGACGACCGTGATATCTACTGTGTGCTAATGATTGATAATCTCGGTTGTATAAAGTCGGATATAATGTGGATTACAGGAAAATCCACGTCTTCCGCCTTGGTATTAAAATTGCTCTCTGTCGACGTTTGTCTCCTGGGAAAAGCGCGGTCTCGGTTTCTCGAAAATCTTCTTCGCGACGACATTACTGGAACAATTTCATTATCTTTATCGATATTGTCGTCAGGAATGATGATATCTTGATCGATGTCGCTCGTGTAAAACGACGTTACATACGAATCACAGGACGCGCTTTGCATCACAAGCGGACTATTAAACCGTTGATTTTTGCGCTGTCTTCCTCGCGATTAGAAATGGAGATTGTTCTGAATTCAGCTCAAACGTATATATACGTTATCGTATTCACATTTAATTGCCGCTACGTTTGTCGTTGCATGCATTCTTCCCTGATTACCCGTCGTGCCAAAAATTTTTTTTGCTCTATCTCTTGTGCGCGCGTTCTGTGCGGTGTCGTTTTAAAAGTTAATTACAGGTACGGAAGGCGACATCGTGCCCCGTCTGCGAAATGAACGTCATGGGAAAGCTATTTTGCTCGACAAGAAAGCATTTCGGGTAATTAAAAGAGCTTGATACTTAGAGAAATAGAGGAAGCTTCTTGGAATACGTGAAGTACACAATTACATGCATCCATATAATTTTTTGGCGCAGTCTATAACTCTAACCACTTTGTTTGAAAACTCGCTTTTTACATTTCAAATATTCTAATGGTTGTGTTACATTTGTTATATGCCACGTGTATCAATGAAACGTAACTTGCGAATCGATCGAGTAGAATTTCATCAATAAATCACTGATATCTTAATGTCAGAATTATCTCGTAGTATTTCTTGCGAACGCGATACGCGAAAACACGAGATTAATGTGACGCAAGTATGCAAAACACTTTTCCTAATCTGAAGAAATTCTCTTACTTGATCTGATAATACACAGTCGTGATATTAGTTTCTATTGAATTACAAGAACAATCAGTGCAAATACGAGAAAAAAATATTGCGTATAACAAGAAATGAACTACCGCTCTTGTGCGCGCGCGCGCTGATAACGCGCAATCCCTAAGGAGAACTGTATCAAACGAATTCTCACCGTGAATTTACGACGTGGCCGAACGTTTTCCGCCTCGTTCGTTTCCAGACTTCTGTGCCGGCCCGCTATTACGCACGAAATTCTGCCGTACACATACAACATCACCAGCATGGGTAGGAAAAAGCTGCCCATCGCCGAGAATATCACGTACGAGGAGTCCATGTTGTAGGAGCATTTTTTGATATCGCGGTTCGTTGCGCGCGGAAAACAACCCAGCAAAGGCGGGCTCGTTATTGCGCCCGCTGTTATCCATACGGCAACGATCATCAGCCCGGCCAGTCTTTTGCTCCTCCGTCGTCGGCTGTATATCAACGGTTGAGTTACGGCCAGATACCTTGAACAAGAAATACCGATAATGATAACGAGTATCGCAATGAATTTTTTCGAGGATCTAACAACCGCGATATTTAAAAAAAACTGAGAAAAAAAACGCGGAATTGATTCTTCCGATCAATATTCGTTAATTTGACTCCACGAAGAAGGTTCACCCACATCGAATTATAGTTTGTCTGCAATGCAATCAAGCGCGTATGGCAACTTCATGCTACATGAACAAATTTGCATAGTCTATGATCAATATGGGTTAGTGAGCTATGTAGTTAGAAGTTCCTTACGCTGCATATAGAATGTAAGAAGCAATTTTGTATATATATAATATATTACGGTGTAACAGATGCAAGAGGACATAAACTGCGGGAAAGATGTTTGTTCTGCGAGGTAATTAAATGGACAGTTAAAATATCACGCGTATTATAAAACATGTTCGAAATTTATTTTTTTACTGCATTAGAAAGAAAGAGAGAGAGAGAGAGAGAGAGAAAGAGGGAGAAGGTAATAATAAAAAAAAAGCGAACAAGATCCATAAAAAGGCAACCTTCTTTCAGCGAGTGATATCAAGCTGTTTGATCGTAACGATGAGCCAACAGAATAAAAATACTTTATTGCTTGATCAAACTTTCTACGAGCCGGAAGTCACTCGTTCTAACCGTTCGATTTTCTTCTTTAATTTCTTTTTTTTCTCTTTTCTCAAACGTTGACTCGTAAAAGCTACGACGTTCGTCGGTTAAAATTTATGTCGGCGCAAAATTTTATCTTTAATGACAGAGAAAAGTCCATTTCCGAAAAGTGGAACGACTGGTGGGAAACTCGCCGGGTAATCCTGTTATCTACGTGACGAGATTTGAAAATGCGTGTGGTCCAGGATTTACCTGTCTATAGATATGGCGCACAGCGAGAGAATACTGGCCGTGCAGAGTAGAATATCAAGAGAGACCCAAGAATCGCATAGAATCTCGCCCAGTTCCCAAGTTCCTCCTGTAAGCTTCATCGAGAAATTGTCTAGTCAATAAAAAACATTAACGTACGTAAATTTACACGTGCGTAAAAAAAATCCAATTTACACAAAAGAAAAGATATATATCTCTTGTATGCTAAGGTGATAAGAGTCAAAAACTGGAAGAGTCCGCACGATGCCGTGCACGCGGGGAAAAGGAAGAGACTTATATTAAATGCTAGCGGTAATTAAATGCCGCTCTAAATATCGTTACGGTAATGTGCGCTGCAATTTGTTTGCCATGAATAATGAGCACCGATCGCGGCAATTAAATAAGATCTTATCGCGAATTACAATTTGTGATGTGAAAGCTTGCAGCTTACCGCTGCAAGAAGATGAATTAAACATTTTATACTCGCGCTTATTGCGTTTTAACGCATGACAAATGCGTTGGGCATACCTGTAACAGCACCGCCGGCGGCATCACCGCTAGGCCAACTAGTAAATCCGCCGCCGCTAGACTAGACACAAAACAATTAGTCACGGACCGTAATCGCCTGGTGGTAATTACAGCTGCGATCACCAGCGTATTGCCAACCTGTAATAATACGAGAAAGAGAATCACACACGATTGTTGCAAGCGCATGCTTCAAGGCTAGTTAGAGACACTCAAACTAACCGTGAGTAATATAAATTCAATCTATGATGATTGTGTGAATATATATATATATATATAT